TGCTTGTAGAAGTCTCGCCATGCCACCTCGCTGATCCATACCCGTATCCCCTCGTTGCCCGCATCCAGCTTCTTGGTCTTGTTGCGGTCCCGAGCGTACCGCACGCATGTTCTCGAACTGATGGTCCCACTGGCAAGGTGCACTGACAAGGTGGAGGTCCCGGCGTCGTGAGGGATGTTGCGTTTGTTGTGATACTGGCCGACCTTTTCCTCGCAGAACTTCTCCAGACGGCTTCGTGCCTCATGTTCGCCAGCCGGGAAGAAGGCACGGTAGCGCTTCTTCTGGTCGTCGTCGAGCTTCCGGTCTACAATCTCCTCCGGAATCTCCGTTTCAAATAGCTTGCCGTACTTCTCCCTTGCGCTGGATGGGTTCTTCGCGGGCGGATCGTATAGCTCGAGAAGGTCCAAGTTCTCGTGGACGTGCCGGACCCAGGCCCGGAACCAGGGTGAATAAACGGCGTACTGTTTGCCTGCCCCGCTGGTCAAAAGTCCGGGAGGGACGACGCACGTATCGTGCAGGACCTCGTACGAGAGGCCCTTGTCGGCAAACATGCGGACCATCTTCCCCTCTCGGCGGAGCTCGTCCACCTCGTACTCCATATTGGCAAACAAGTGGCTGGCCTCCCATTGATCCATGAGCTCAGCGATCCGTTCGGGAATCTTTTTGCGTTTTTCAACGGTCTCGACATAAAGCGGGATGTCAAGTTTGGCGAGGTCCTCCCTCAGAACATGCAGGGTCCTGAGCATAAAATCGATGCGGATGGGGGCCGTTAGATGCGCTTCATAGTCCTGGGGACTGACAATGAACATGGCGATCAGTGGAACGCCCGCTTCCTTGGCCTTAGCGCTCGCTAGAGACAGCGATCTGTTGTCTGTTGTCCGGAGGTCCATCTTGAACCAATGGACGACGGCGTTCTTTGTCTTGACTGCCTTTCTCGTTTTGGAAGTCTGCTCCAGAGCGGAGGTGAGCTCCTCGATTGGTCTTGGAAGTTCGTTCTCGTTGTAGGCGCGTGCTCGGTCGTTGCTCATCTCGTGTGGATAGAACTTCCGGAGGACGATCCCATGCTTCTCAGCGTCTTCGTGGAACGGGTGCGGCTTGCGCAGGGGATCTCCGCCATTCTGCTCCGTCTTGGTTCTCTTTCTCCCAGAGTCGCTAGACTCCGCCGCCGGTGCCGCCTTGCGCTTCTGCTTGGGCGGCATCGTGGTGAAGTAGTGAGGATGAGAGCGAGGATTCGCTGCTGTGAGGTTGATCGAGCTCGGTTGTCGAGTACTGCAGAGGAGGCGGGAGTTGCAGAGTTGAGAAAAGCTCAAGGCGGAAGTCGAGTTGAAGCGCGAGGCAAAGGGAGAAATGGCAGTAGTAGCAATCGCAACACGAGTATAAGAATGAGTTAGAGGTGGAAGCGCGTTGCTGGGGAGCAAGACGCGACAGGCGAGCATAAGGTGACGAAAACTGAGATTTTTCCAATCGAAAGACTGAATCTGAACTGTTTGATTGAATATTGCATGGTTCTAACTTTCGTCTGGCCCTCCCATCAAGCTCTTCAGCCTGTGGGAAGGGGCTTTGGACATGATCCAGCTGGAGAAAGGTTCACGATCGGCGCGATGTCTTGTGCGTCATCATGTTCCTGAAATCGGGAGATCTGGACGTGCATCAGCTCTAGCGTGCCATCTCAGCTCCCAAGGCCCTGGTTTAGCGGGGGCCCTGTTGCCCCGCCCGATTGGTTCAGGGATCCATGGCGGGGCGGAGAAAGCGAAAAGCGAATCTGATTGGCCTTTGGGGACCGTCCGTGCGGCTCGAGGTGAACGATCTGGACCAACGCCCGGTGAGCAGAAGCGCTTTCGGTAAGCCTCGGTGTATTATGGGTACCTTATGGGGTAAGGACGGAAAACAGTGCCCGGAGATCAGCCGGACCCACGCATCAATCTCACGTCACATGGCGATAAGAGCTGGCCCCCCGTAAGACAAGTTCCCCGATAAGCCCTGGGCCTTCTTTCCTGTTGTCGCAAGGCAGCTCGCTCAGCTCGCGACGACGAGATCGCCCCCAACTTACGACCTTCACGACAAAGACAGTATTCTACCTGACACCAGAACCGTTGTCGCCGATCCCCCAATCCCTCAACGACAGCAAACATGGACCCGGGCCGCAGAGCCATGCTCTCAGGGCGCAGATCACCCAGCCGCAGAGATCGCGAAAGAGACAGAGACATAGCCTCTCCACGACGCGACCCGAATAATCGCATCACCAAACCCTCGAACCTTCCCCCTTCTTCGCGGCCACGTCAGAACAACAATTCGAGCTATATGACGCAGGATGAGCAGTCTAGACAGTTTGTCGCCGATGAGGACAAGTTCGTTCTGAAACAAGCCAAGAAGAAGGCTGATATTCGAGTTCGGGAAGGCCGAGCCAAGCCTATTGATCTTCTGGCCTTCAATCTGCGCTTCATCGACGACGACCGGGACGTCTTCGACGACGACGATGCCGACTTGCACCTCAATGTGGCCTCTCCCGAGGAGGTCCTGCAGGGGCTCGACGAATCACAGCTACGAGACCTGGATTCTGACATCACGTCCTACCACACCCTCGAGCAAAACGACCGCAATCGCGACTACTGGAAGTCGTTGCAAGCCATCTGTGCCGACAGGCGGCAGAAGCTGAAACCACAAGGTCCAGACGCTCGGGTCGTGAGCACAGTATCCGAAGATGTCGACAAGATCCTGCGCCCCAAGACGTACGAGCAGCTCGAGGCACTCGAATCACAGATCAAGGCAAAGCTCCGCTCCAACGACGATATCGATGTCGACTATTGGGAGCAGCTTCTCCGCAGTCTGCTGGTGTGGAAGGCTAAGGCCAAGCTGAGAAAGGTGTCCGAAGCAATCAACGACAGCAAAGCCGCACTGCTGAAGCTGCAGGATCCGGAAAAGGCAAAGGCACTGGGCCACCACCAAGCCAACCATGCCGATTCTATTTCGGGCCCTGCAGCAGTCAGGAACCTGTCATCTGAACCAAGCAGGACAGAAACAAAGGCGGTACCTGTTTCAAGTGCGCCCCCGGGAACTGCTCGATTCGCTCAGACGGGCAACGAAGACTTTTCCCAAGCTACCAAAGCTCTATACGACCGTGAGGTCGCGCGTGGCATTGGTGAGGACGAGGAGATATTCACGGCAGAAGAGACCGTTGCAAGTGGCTCGAAACCTCAATGGGCTGACAAGCACCGTCCACGAAAGCCGAGATACTTCAACCGCGTTCAGATGGGCTACGAATGGAACAAGTACAACCAGACACATTACGACCATGACAACCCGCCCCCAAAGGTTGTCCAGGGCTACAAGTTCAACATCTTCTATCCCGAACTCATTGACAAGACCAAGGCGCCTACTTTCAAAATCATTCGAGAACACGGCAGGAAAAGGGGGGAGTCTTTTGCCGCAGCAGGGGAGGAAGATACATGCCTCATCCGATTCATCGCAGGTCCACCTTACGAAGACATTGCCTTCAGAATCGTGGACCGCGAGTGGGATTACAGTGCGAAGAAGGATCGCGGCTTCAAAAGTTCTTTCGATAAGGTATGTTTTGTGGCGTTTTCTACACCGTCTTCACGTGGCCCTTTTCATCTGCATCTTGTCTTGTTTCTCTCTCTCTCTCTCTCCCTTCTCATAGTGCTCGTGGCGGAGTCGACGCGGTGCATATGCACGGAGAGCACAAGAATCACTCAAAGGGGGGGGGGGGGGGTTGCAAAGAGCAACGCCCGCACAACTGTGCCCCTTACCCTTCTCTCTTTTCCTCGTTTCCCCAATCTGCCGTCATGTCGAAGGAACCGACCCTCCATGAGACCTTTCTCCAATGCCGTGATAGGCGGTCCACGAGGAGACGAGGGGAAGACAGCCTTCGCTTTCCGCCAGACCACCGACTCCGCCATTCCTCCCCCTCCCCCCCCCTCCCCTTGCCCAACCGCCTACACGCGCGCCTCTGGACATATTCTCCTGTTTTTCTGTCATATTACTTGACACCAGCCACCCTTGTCATGGCGTTGAGCTAATCTTATACTCCCTGCAGGGTATCCTGCAACTGCACTTTCAATTCAAAAAGGTAAGGAACAAGTCCCACTCCCACGTTTGATTCTCTCTGATTGCAACCATACTGACATGATGCCCCCCCCTCCGCAGATCTACTACCGGAAGTAATTGCCCCCAGAATCGGGCTGGGGTTGGAAAGGAGGCTCGCTCGTATTGTCACGATGCATCTACGATGTCACGATGTGACAGAATCAACCGGGTGGGCGGATACATTGGGACAACGTTTGGTGCTGGGAGGTTGTTTTGTTTTTGGCCTGGCCAGAAGTCAGGACAGATCTGTATCTGCTATCCATCTTCAGATCCCGTCCGCCTCATCTTCTTCTCCCGCTCGCTCGCTCGCCGGCCGCTCTCACTTTCGCTGGTACCACGTACATTCTCTCCTCTTTTTCTTCTCCTCCACCGTTCGGATCATACACCCGCCGACGACCGCAACAGACCGCCGCTGGCCGCGGGCCGACCTCCTGGGAAGACAAGAGAATGACGCACAATCACACAGGCGACCATAGCTCTCGTCTGCAACTAATCAATTGCCTCCTTTTCATCTTCTCGTGCAACTGTTGGTAGTTGGTACCAGGGCACCAAGGCATCAAGGCACCGGACGGGGCGCCAGGGCAACCCTTTTCGGACTGTTACTGTACCTTTACTTGGAATAGCTGCCTGGCCCCCACGACGCTAAGTGCTGCCGGCCCCGGACGACTGACATGATTCTAAGCAGACTTGTATGAAGCTATCCTGACCAGAGTCCGAGTACAATGGCTGCAGCTACTTGCTGATCTCCACGCCACCGCAGAGGAATCCACCCACCACCCTGCCACGCCTACCCTCTCATCTCTGGGCTGGCGATCCAACCCCCTTCACCGACTTGGCCGTTGGGCGTTGTCGGTGGGAAGACGGGGTACTATGACGAGCAGCAGAGTCCCTGGGTACTACTGACCTGGAACGATCGGTCTTCCCCGTGATGCACAGATGTAGAGAGGCAAAGAAACCCGAAACACCACTCTTGAGCAAGCGGCCACATTTCGGCATAGGCGGGATTGAATCTCCACCTTGACTACATGATTTCCCTGCTCTAAATCCGTGTCGACAGCGTTGAGTGTTAGGGAGCACCATAAACTTTCTAGAATCCGAAAATGATCTACGTGCCCGCGGGCTGGCATCAAGAGACCGATCATCCGCCTGCCTTGCAACTCTCCTACACTGGTACAAGCCAGGACTTTGAGGCAGCGCTCGTGGAGACGGCAGCGAGTGATTGGTCTTCTCGCCAAAGTCGATGCATGCGTCCGGTGTACCTGCTGCTGGTCTCCGAAGAGCTGTTGTTCTGCCCCAGATGCCTCCTTTCTCAGCTCGATAATTGACTGGCTGGTTGTCAAAGCTGGCTGGCGGGCCTCACTCCAACCATGAGAATGACAGGCGTACATGGTCTGTACATCTCATGTCGAGCTGTACCTGTTACAATATGCCCCGCCACGACCTGCTACCCACATGGGCCTGGTTGTGGATGTGTGCAACAACCTCTCATTCTCTCGCGTCTCCGCTCTCTCGCGATCTCGCCTGGTGTCTAGGTAGCCTCAGGCTTAGAGCATGTACCATGCCAGTATCCTGCCGTTGACCTCCCACACTCCCCCCTCTCCATCCGCCATCCCGTACAGGGCGATGGACCTGGACTGTCATGGCCGCCATGGCCGTCCCGTGCGGTCACTGGGGCAGAGTTCCGCTCCTGCTATCAAACCATGGTTGCACGCAGACGACCTGGATCATGGGTCGACGGCTCTTAACGAATGGGCACCAGGTCGGTGGCGTTGTTAGTTCCAACGGCTTTTGCTCTACCTTCGGGGTAGAGACCACATGGAGACGAGGGAGGAGGAGAGAAAGGTAATCCGAAGAAAGAAACGCCCTTGGAGGCTCCCCGTACCGCCCAGTCCAGCCCCGGCCGTCTTCTACTCCTCGCACCTTTTCTTTGGCAACAGGGCGTCCGTTCAGTTCAGAGTTAGTAACCTGATCCCTTCATGAGGATGCATAAGGGGACGCCATTTCCGACATTCCTTCAATCAGCATTCCAGAATAGAAATTCCATGATCCCGGTCGACTATACTCTTGCACTTGCCCCGGACGGAGCTGATGGCAGAAGCCACATCCAAGCCTCCATCTGTTTCCGTTTGCGTCCGGTCTTGGAGAATAGAGGCTGCAACGGATCTGTGCATGCAGCAGAGAGGTTGCCGCAGACGTGGATGGGGACCTCTATCTAGTTGACACACGCACATAGGCAAAGACAGAGAGGGAAACGCAGGCGGCAGAGAGAGAGAGTAAAGGAGACTGGAGGGCGCGCAGACCAGCAATCGCGCATAGAGAAGAGCTTCAGACAGACGCATATACGCACACAAGCATATACACAACAAGCAGACACACACACACACACACATACACGCACACGCATACACACACACACACATGGCGCCGCCGCGGCAGCGGGAAGACAACGCTAAAACAAGAGCCAAGCAATGAGCTGGCACATGTTGCCCTCTCTGTCATTCTCACTCACTCTGTTCCTCTCTCTCTCTCTCTCTCTTCCTCTCCCGATATCCACATGGCCAATGTTACGCTAACACCCCCTACAACCCATGTCAGTTCTATCGACAGTCCACACACCCCCCCATCTTGCAACCTTACCCCGGTCCTGCGCCTCTCTGGCTGGCTCATCCCAGATCCTGTACGTATCTTCTTGTACGTACTCAAGAAGACCAAATTGGGCGACATACGTCTGTCTGTTCCTTGCACTACGCTCTACTACCAACATGGGAACATCTGGAAGATAGGACAGGCCTCTCTCTCTCTCTCTCTCTTGTTAAATCACAACGGGGTCAACCCCTTGCTGGAGGCACCTTGAATAGCCATCTGTGCTTCTTTTGGTCTTGAACCAACATCGTTGAAGTCGCCTCATTAATAACCTCTCGTGTCTCCTCTCACTTTCTCGAGACGCCTTCCTGAGACGGTCTTTTATTCGATATCAAGCTCAACATCGTCAACCCGTTGTCTCACCTCGACCATTGTTAAACTTCGACTCCTCCTCTCCCCCACCCTGCCTTCATCCTTACAACATCATCTTCAAGTGGTGTCTGGCATCTTCATCTATCCCTCATTTTGAAACCTCTTTCCGCGCAAACTTCTTCCCAACTTGTTTCAGACAGCGTTACCTGATTCTCTTCCCCTTCCTCCTCCACACAGTCCTACTGTTCACCGCATCATGACGGCAAAGAACTCACCTCAACACAACATGGGCGCTACCCTGGCCCATCAACAGCAGAGCAATAGCACACAGTCTTCAACCGCCTTGGCCATCAAGACGGACATGGTGGAAACATACAACACCATGGCCCCTGAACAGCAACCACAACAACAACAACTTCAGCAACGATCTTTCACCGTCCAAGATCCTCAACCATACTACACACAGCTCACTGCCATCAGCCAGCATCAATATCCGTCGCCAGTCATGAACCACACTACCTGGTCCTCGCCACAGTCCATGTCTACAGATGAATTTGACAACTACTCATACCGCGGCCAGACCGTTCAGTCGGCATACAACCCAGCCTCTCTCTCACCGAGAAGCTGGCCCTCGTCAACCCAGACCCCCCCACCGGTGCAAGCCTCGCAGTACGAGTTGCCCATTCGTTCGCAGGAACCAGCCTTTGGGCTTGCCAACGACCACTTGACAATGTCGCCAGAGACTCTACGCGGAACAGATCTAAATGTCTCCCTTCACTACAGTAACAGCGGCTATCCCCACGGCTTTGAGCAGCGCCATTTCGATCCCGAGCCCTTGCAGCGAACTCTGGAGAGCGATAGAGTTCACTACGCATCTTCGCCGGGTACCGACGCTCCTGGGTCACCCTACGGCGGCTCTCCGACCTCGTTCCACGTTGGCGACTTGCCCGATGGCATCCAGAATCTCGGTAGCCAGAGTCCCTCTACCAAGGCCAACCCCCAGTCAGATGCTGCCAACAACAACGGCGAGGGTCCGCCTTACGCCAAACTCATCCACAGAGCCCTCAAGAACGCACCAGACCACTCCATGACTTTGCAGGAGCTCTACAAGTGGTTCAGAGACAACACCAACAAGCCTCAGAGGACCGAGAAGAACGGATGGCAGAACAGCATCCGTCACAACCTCAGCATGAACGACGTAAGTATCTTTGCCTGTTCGCTCGCCCCACGTCACTCCAGTAGGATCATTATCCTGCCCAAGAAGGCCCCATGCATATTATGCTTGAACTCCAACCCCCTGGCTAGTGAAGCATTTGCATCTTGCATAAGCCTAACCGACGAGCCCCTCTTTGTCCCCTACCGTAACACAATGATCCTGTTCGCTAACACGAGAACTCCCATCTAGGCTTTCCAGAGAAGAGAGAAGGAGATTTTTACGCAACCAGACGGCCACACCTCTAACGAGAAGCGCGTGTCTGAGTGGTACCTCAACCCCAAGTACCTTGATGACATTCTGCCGACCACGCACTTCCGCGATGGCAACCGTGGCGGCACCTCTCGCAGCCTCCTCGGTCGCCGTGCCTGCAACGCCGCCGCCGCCAACGCCAACGCACTCGGCGGCGGTCCCATGGGCATGGGAAGACGCAACAGCCCTCCCCGCTCTTCCACCATCACGCACTACCCGAACCCCGACTATCCCAACCGATCCATGCCCGGCCGCGCCATGTCTGGACGCCGAGGAGGCCGCGCCACGACAAACTCCCGCAACGCAAGGCGCCAGCGATCCCAGACCGGGTCCATGAGCCCCGTCATGGCCTCGCAGCATCACCACCAGCACCATCACCATCAGCAGCAGCTTCCTCCGCACATGCAGATTCACGAGGAGATGATGAGACGGAGTCAGGTGACCAACGAGCAGTGCTTCCAGCAACAGCAGCAGCGCGAAATTCAAGCTCGCGGCGGTCCTCTCAACCTCAGCCCCATTTCTCCTACCGGAACCGTCATCGTTGGCAGCACGCCCGGCGGCGGCAACATCACGACTCCTACCAGTGCTCCGGATCCCTTCATGGCCGCGGCCCAGCCCTACCAGTTCCAGGGCTATGCCATGGCTGATGTTTCTGGAGTGTACAGCCCTTCGACACCCGCCGGCGGTGCCATCTATGGATGGGGCTCCAACGCCCAGTTGTGAGCGGTGTTGGCACATCACATCTCATGATTGGAGACGGGTTGGTGCGGCTGGGTTGGTGTGGCTCCTGTGGTGTGAGTGCTTCGTCTCTGGGGTGGTCTGTAACTCTTTCCCTTCCTCTATCTATTTTTTTCACAACGGCGTTTACCGGGGGTAACGATTGTTTCCCCCTCCCCTCTACCAGAAGCGTAGATCGAGTTGGGTTGGTCATGGGTGGGTGGCTTTCTTTCTCGCTTTTCCGCCTTTTAGGGCGATGATGTATTATTGTACGGCGGGTTGGACGGTCGCGGGAAGTCAAAAAGTCTCCGCCTCTGGATGTCAAGGGTCAGAAGAGGGCAACAAAAAAAAAACACAAAAAGACATGAAGATCAGTTCCCAAGAGGAATAGAGCTTCCAGTTGTTTCATTACCCCATCAAAGCCTCTTCCACCTCTTGTCACACTTCTCGATTTGGTCTGCTTACGCCTATCTCCATCTCTAACGACTACCCTCGCCTTTCCTGTTAAGACGGAAAACCAGCAACAAGTTTTCGCGGCGGAGTATTCCGTCTGGTTGGACGGGACATCACGAGAGCGGTCCGGCTATCTTCTCTAGCTGTTCTCGGGGGCCCCGGCCCCGGTCGCTCTACCTTCTCTCTTTCTCTGTCCCCCCACCCCTGTCCTCTCCTACGTCTTTTCTTCCCGCCAAGATCTGGCGCTCCGGGGACATGTTCGGATGAGGGTCGACGACGCACATCGGGGGCAGGGCAGAGAAAAGGGCCAACCCAGGGGACGGGGATCTGTGTCTTGCAATCCGCTCGACGGTGAGATGGGGGGCAGGACATGGGTGCTTGAGGCGTGGGCGGTGGAGAACAATTCTCTCGATGCTGTCTCTCTCTCCTCCCAACACCTACCACACCCACCACACCTACATACACACAGACACAAGCACCCACCCCTCCCTCATCCCCTCCTCTCCCACACCGAATTTCCATACATCCACGCCCCCCTCATCCTGCTCGGATTTGAAGGGTACAGTGCCCGTCTTTGACACCTGCAGGGTTCGAGACTCGTTGGTGCTCTACACTACGACTAGTCTTTCTTTTTCTTCCCTCTCACTGTCTTTTCGGTGTTCTGCCAGGTGTGTGTGTGTGGTGACGGACAGACAGTGGATGGTGCGGCGGCGCGGAGCGTGTTGCGTGTTGTGGGCTAGCTTCCCTCTCTGTTGGAAGCAGTTGCCGCGAACCCAAGTTGACAGGGCAAGGGAAAAA